AAGAAGTTTGTGAAAAGTATAGAGTCATCATGAGTTCAAGGTGATGAAGTCAAGCCAACAATGTGGATTTTGCAGGGTAGTAGCATCTACAGCAAATGATAATTGTTTTAGAGAATAATAAGGCCCTAGACAAAACATTTTAATCGCATTTTTTGCTAACTGAGGAGAAGATTCCTCTCACGGAAACCTTTTAACTTGAAACTCGGAGGTTTTACAAATAATTATCATGGTTTTCCGGATTACATATCTTTCCTTTATTATCGTATTGATAATTTTTCTATTATTAAGATTTGCATTGTAATAAAGCTCTGATTGCTTTCTTTTCCACACGGGCCAAATATAACATGAGCGGATTGATAATACCTCGTGGCTATATATTGATCACATCTTAGAGTTATTCATTTTGATAGAGATGGATTGGAATTTGGATGTATGCAGACAAATACTTATCGATTTTTCTCTTCTCTGATTAAGGTGTCAATTAAACTAAACAACAGTAAAGCATTTAGGATGATTTACTCTCATTATAAACTCAGCCAAAATTATTGTTTATCCCCTTTAAAACTCAAGTAAGTGTTTTTATTTTTATTTTTCAAAGGGACAAGAAGCTTGAAGTCAACGACCAATTTCCATCCCTAGTGGAGGACAACCCCACTATTTTACACACAAGTGTCAGATTGTGGCTGAGCCGCATCAGTAGGCAAGCTCCTTATGAGTAAGGATGGAAGCATTACCCAAAGATATTTAGGAGTGGCCAAATTAAAAGGTGACTTTTTTATATGAAGAAAAAGAGGTGTTTACGTTACAAAAATTTGGGGTTCGATATTTACCCAAAAAAAAAAAAAACAAATTTGGGTTCGATAGACACTAAGTGGGCCACACCATATCTCAGGCCCAGCCTTGTATACTGCCGTATTCTACTGCCCATTAATTGTAACCCGACCCGACCCGACCCGACCCAGTAACCAGATCCCTCTCCCTTCTTCTTCAGTTGTTCTTCTCCTCTGACTTGGAGCACTTAGGCACCCGCCAACACTCAGGAGAATTGCAGAGAGGCGGTGAAAAAGGATTTCCAAACCCACCCAAACAAACTGTCCTCAACCCTCAACTCTTCTTTTTCCTTCTTCAAATTTTCTTCAGTCTCCCTCCCGCTTTCCCTTTGTTCCTCTTCTCCTGCCGCTTCATTTTCTTCAGTCTCCGCTGATTTGCTCTCAATCGGGCTCAGGTATATCTTAATTTCCTCTTCTTTTCTTTGTTTTCTTATTGTATTTGGTTCAGTATCTAATTAATTTCAATTTCTATTGGATTTTATTAGGGCTTGCGGTGATATCTGATAACCACGCCTTTGAGACTTGAGCTGCTTGAGGCCTGCGATCGCCGACGAGCTTGTGAGAAGGCTTACGGGTAAGTAGATTTTCTTCTCACCATTTTCCAAAAGAAATTTCGTTTTTTTTGAAGTACATGCAGTATTCATTGGGCACATTTGGCATTGGAATTTGAACCCAATGCCAACGTCTGACCCTATAATTGTCCCCAAAGGTGGATTTCATGGAACCAAACAGAGTTTCATGCTACAACTTTCAATGTGCTTAGCTATTGTTCTGCATGATACAGAATTTCATATTGTTCTGCATGATACAGAATTTCAAAGCAATATATGAAATTTGCACATGTTGGTATATTTTGTTGCTGTTTGATATCAATGTATCACAAGTTCCGTAGCTAATGTCATAAATGTGAGAAATAATAACATAAATATAAAACCAAATTCTAGTTAATCTAGTTTCAAGTTTCAAGTCAAGCCAAATGCATCCTTGTTTGTGCAATCAGTTGCCATCTGTGTGTTTATGTGTATGTTTAAATAATCGATCATGAGTAAGTAAGTATCATTTTCAATTCATGTACAGGAGAAGATATTCAGTCTCATAATTGCATTATTCAGTCAGACAATATAAGCCTGCCATATTGGGTCGCAAACATTATACGTTCAAGAAAGAGGGTAACAGTTGGGTGAAAGATGCTTCAGATCCGGCTTAAGAGTGTTGCACCCCCAGAGGGTGCTGCAGGGGTAAAACCCTTGCCAGCGGAGACTGTGACAGTTGCATGCCCTGACCACCTTGTCCTTGCTGATCTTCCTGTTGCAAAGGGCATTGGTGCATCAACCATTGCTTCAATTGTCAAGACTGTAGGTCGCAGGTCCCGTCGCCAGCTTGGAGAACGGGTTCACTTTTGTGTTCGCTGTGATTACCCAATTGCTATCTATGGACGCCTGGTATGGACCAACTAAATTTGTCTTTCCACAGTTGGTAGCTGCTTTCCAATTTCTTTTTCTTTCAAAGTTTTCCTTCCGCATGATTAGGTTTCCATGTGGTCTTTGTGTTATTTTTGTCTCTTTAGGTTCATATATTTTTTCTTTAGATGCTCTGGAAATGAATGCTAGAAGTTAAGTCTTGAATTGCATGATATGGATCTCTTGTATATTAACTAGATTGTGTTCTTGCAGAGCCCTTGTGAGCATGCCTTTTGTCTGGATTGTGCTAGGAGTGACTCCATCTGCTATCTGTAAGATTTCTGATCTTTACATAGTCATACTAGAGCATGAATTTGTTCCCTGCAAACTTGTTCCCTTTCTGTCTGCAAACTTGTTGGGCTTGTATTATTGTAGACTTTTGGATAATCTCCAACATCCCTTTTGACTCTTGCATGTTTAGTTCTATTATTTAGACTGCTCACCCAAGGGACTTCAGTTGTGGGGAAATGCATTAAAGGGTTGGATTCGCTTCAATAAATTTTACATTTCAACAGTTGTCCCAATTTAAGTCTTAAGAGCACTTCAACTATTGTTTATGTGTAATTTGAGGTTTGCTACTTGCAGCTGAGTTCACTTCATTTTGAACTTGATGAAATATTCACTCGAGAGTTAACAATACACAAATGAGGTGTTGAAAGAGATCCATGGTTACTGGATCAAGTCTTAGTATAAGCAAAATATTTGGCTAGGAACAAAAGACCAGTTTATACACTGCTGCAAGATAATTGCTCCAAATGTTGAGACGTGTCAATGCGAATGGATTTCAAATATAGAGTTTCTTTCCATTTTTTATTGGTTACTGGATGACTTGACATCCAATTATTATAGCACACGGCCAGTAATTGTGCTTAAAATGATTGTTAATTATTATTTGTGGAAATGTTATTTTATTGACAAAGAACTATTAGAATTAACTGATGAATGATAACATGTAATTTTCATGATTTATTGTACAGTTGTGATGAACGCATCCAGAAGATCCAGACGATCAAATTGATGGAGGGAATCTTTATTTGCGCAGCCCCTCACTGTCTGAATTCTTTCCTAAAGAGGAGTGAATTTGAATCTCATATCCACGAGAACCATGCTTACCTTCTTCAGCCAAATGCGGACAAAATGGATGGAAATGAATCAGAAGCTCGGAGTACCAAACAAGGTACAGTATCAGAATCCACTGGCCGTGCTCCACCAAGGCCAGTCTTTTCTCCTGGTTCAAATTCCCAGCTCCATGACCGTGAGGACAAAGCTCGTCTTCAACAGCCTAGAGAACAGTCACTTCCAAGGCCAGTCATGCAGCCCAACCCAGCCCCAGCTTTTGGGCAACTTCAGAATAACCCAGCAGATCTCAGTCGTCCCCCAGGCTTTGACAGGCCTAGTCCCCACAATCTCTTCCATCAACAAAGCTATGATTCAGTGGGTAATACAATGCAGGAATCTGGCCAGTTTTCAGATAAGCAGCAGACTCCCTTTTCTGAATACCCACCCATGCATTCTATTCAGCCCCCCAATTATGCAGTTCCCATTAATTCGAATCAAGTGCGGATGCCCTCCCTTCCATTTGCCTATCCTTTTCCTGTTGATGGATCTCAACCATTTTATAATGCTCCCTATGAGATTGCACGGCAGGATTCAGCACCAGATGTTGGACAAGAACAGGGGTCGTTATTGGGTTTTCCCCAAGGTTCA